ATGTTTGTGGTTGTAATGTGACAAAATATGGAAAAGTTCAAGGGGTATGAATACTTTTGCAAACCACTGTATTTGAGTCGATTAAATTTTGTGTAGAATAATGGTTAAATCAAGAATTCATGGATTTTCATTCTAAATGAGTACTACATGTGCAATGAAAGATAGATACTAAGGTCACAGTTGTCAGCAAAACATAAATAAAATAAAATAAGCCATAAGAAGACAAAAAGAAAAAAAATGTACATAATGTGTTACAATGGAGTTTATTTAATTATTTTATTTATTTAACATTTATTTATCCAGGTAAACTGTTTGAGAACCACTTCTCATTTACAAACATAGTCTGGCATGCACTGAGTGCATTACTATTTGCAAACCTACATATTCAGCCATAGTAAAGTGATTGTAAATTTTAATTGCGATTAATCGTGATTAAAATTTCTAATCTATGCCCATGTAGCACTAAAATTAATCAGAGTTAACTCAATTAATTTCACAGCCCTAATTTAAAGAAAGTTAGAGCTTTTATTAAATGTAAAATAGTGAACATTTAGAGCACAATAGGGTTGAGATGCAAGAGTAAAGTGCAAACACTGGAGGAGAAGATACTGATTTTGTAGCTGAAGCTGGTCTAATTTCACTTTAATCTGGTTCCATAGGCTGATGCTGACCTGCGCTACACCCCCCAGCACAAACCGCTGCTGCTGCAGCTCCCCAACATGAAGACGATCAGGATCACGGTCTGCTTCTCCAGCGTGGTGTTCAAGACAGTGTCAGAAATCTGCAGAGTTCTCAGTGAGTTTATCTGATCCTGGAGGATCCCACCCACTTGTGTCAGTCAGGAGAAAATAGGACACGTTCTCGTTACATATTCTTCTTCCTGCTCTCCTTACTTTCTCCTCTTTGCTCCATCGCAGACATCAGAAGATCAGAGGAGCTGTCTTTGCTGAAACCCCCTGATGATCCCTCCAAAAAGAGGAAGAAGAAAGAGAAGAATTCGCCTCAGGATGACATCTGGGACATTTGGGATTCACTTAATGGGGGACCGGGAGGAACAGGTACTGCAAATTTTATCAACTTGGCTGAAAACAAAGTTCTGTTTTGTTTTGTTTTTCCTGAGGATAGGCCTACTCATTAAATAAACCAGGTTAGAGACCAGACAGCAAACTGTAGTGATGTAAGAGCGGAAAAGATTTTTTTTTATTAGAAAATAAAGCAGTAAAAGTTGTTTATGTATTTTAAACTTTTTCTTTTATGCCAACATTAAACGTAGGAAAAAAGTTTTAAATATAAGTATTTTTTTAAAGGGCTGGATTAACCAAAAAAATGCTCTAATTTTCAGGGTAAAATGATTTAACATTTTGGTAATCAGTGTTATTATCTGTAAAAATTACAAACTTACAGCTATTTTTGTATTTGCTGAAGTCAATTAGCATGTAGCAGCCAACTTGCATTGGATTGACTCTGAAAGTTAATTTGTTGTAGATGTGTAATGGCATAATTTCCACAACAGATGCACATCCAGTGATTATATTATTAGTTTTATTAAAATCTGTCCAGTGAATCAGGAAGTATTTTGCTAACAGACAGACAAACACATGCAGGCAGTTAAAGGACTGCATGTCKTTCATGGCAGCAGGTGATACAAGGGTTTTAATTTGTCCTTTGCCTCATATAAACATCAAAATGTTCATGAAATGGAATGAAACTGGTTGCACAGGTCCCTTTGACAGAATGTAAAAATAATTAAGTAATATTAAAAATAACTAAGAATAAATATGCAGTAAATAAAATAAAGATAACAGTTTTCTTTAAGACAACTTCTTTCTGATTTTACACAAGTGCATCTACAAAGACTTTCATGGTTAAATGGAAAAACGACTATTTAACTAGCACATCTTCAGTAAAATGTTTCCATAATTATGTTTATAAATCTGTCTACATGTTTCATCAATAAGAGCTGAAAAAAATTGCTCGCTTTCAGTCATACTGAGATCTCAGTA